TTGTGTGTGTGTGTGTGTGTGTGTGTGGTCACTTCCTTGAACACACAGATGGGTGAGGCAGCTGTTCCTTCCAGGAGGGCGCGGGGAGGCAGCGGGGCCGGGAGGGGCAGGACAGGGCTCCATTCCCAGGAACCCCATGCCCTTCACACTCCCCCGCACTCCTCGTCCTCCACCCAGTAGGGACTTAAGGAGCCCTAGTGTGTGTGCAGTGCTGCTGGGGATGCTATTCCTGCTGGTATGGAGGTGACAGTCCAGGAGGCCAGGCCTCTTGTTAATCACTCAGGGAGACACATCTCAGTCTTCTGCTGGCGGGCTCTAGGGTCAGCCTGTAAGTACAGTGCCCAGATTGTTCCACTTCCCTCACAATCTGAACTCTGCAAGAGCCCCCCACCCCCACCCCGCTGCTGCCTTTGCTCTGGGCATTGAGACACGTCAGTCTTTCTTCTGCGGGGTCTCAGATTGCAGGTATGGGCTTGTGTTCACTGATCCAATGGTACCACAATTGGCACCATTAGAAGCAAGCCTCCTGCTCATCGGGATAAATGGCTCTGTCTGACTGACAGACACACACAGTGACACACAGGCCACATGTGTGTTTGCCTGGGGGTTTCAGAAACTGTCCCTGTCCTGCCCACTCTGAACTCTGTAGCTGAACTTTGCTGGGGGGCTGACTGGAATCACGGGGGAGGCGGCAGTCCCGGGAGCAGCCTCAACCAACCATTGCTGGGACTTTTCCCTCATTGGTGGAAAAGTATCTTCTGTTCCTCACTCCTTGGGGGGCCCACTCCCAGATGTGTCCCCTCTTCCTGAGGTCGCCAGCTGGATGGAGCTCCTGTCCCCACTTCAATGACCTGTCCATTGACTTGTCTTCTTCTGACTTCGGGTCCTTCTCTGTCTCAGTTCTCTACTCTGCTGCTGGTGCTTTGAAGGATTTGCCTCCCAGAGCACCTGCTTCCTGTTGAGTGGTGGCCTGAGCTCTACTTCAGGGCCAACCTGCAACAACACACAGAGCCCCGTATGTCAGAGGGACAGCGGGCGGGACCGCGCAGAGCACGTGCTCTGTAATCTGTCAGGCTTGTCTGTTCTTGGGGAGCAGGTGGGGCTGATTTCAGGCAGGTTAGAGGAACCCATGCTTCTCACTCTACATCACCCCAGGTTGAGGCAGGAAACCTCACAGAGGAAACCCAGGGACTGTGTCGTGTCTCTGCCACAGCATACAAGACTGCAAGAGCTACTTGTTAAAATTTCAGGATTTTCTGAGATGGTCATTAAACTCTTGGTCGCTTGAAATCAGCCTTGGTGGGAGAATTTACAGCATGGAAATCAGCAAATGTTACATGTCAGGCCCATCACAGCTGGTCCATCACTGTCCAACCTGGGAGAGGGTTCACTCATCAGGATGATATGGGCTGTGCTGATGTCATCTGTTTGCAGTTGTCTCCCAGGATTGCTGATCCTGCTTCAAGAGGGTGGGACATGGATGCTGATGGCTCTCAGGTGCCGTATTCCACAGCTTCGCAGCCTCCCGAGGAGAAGCCAGGGGGTTTTGTCCCCTCTGCCCCCATTCTGTGGCTGGTGACTGACTATGAGGGGACATTAGAGCCCAGTCCCTGCCTCAGTCGGTCCTAAAGCAGGGGTGCAATTCTGGTTCCTGGGCTTTTCTAGGTGAGGCTGAAGCTGGGCTCAGAGGGAGCACCTCTCTGCTCAGCTCCTTCCTCTGCCCAATCCTGCTCTCCTCCCCCTCCTGCTGACCACACCCCTCAATGAATCACATGACTCTGAATTCCCAGCTCAGGCCCTGCTTCTAGAGAACCAGCCAAAGATGACGGTGGAGCTGTGTGGAGCCCGGCCAGCTCATGCCAGGTGGTTCAGGTGTGGGGCCTGACGTGGAGCTGAGAGAGAGGAGGGGTGGAGGTGTGCAGGGTAGGGGTGTGGGAGAGGAATTGGGGCGGGGCAGCGCTGGCAGCCAAGGGGCCCTGAGGAGATTACAAAGTGCTCAGAGTAGCACAGGAGGCCAAGAGCCCAGGGCGATGACTCCTAGTGGTTTCCCGGTGTTTGTGCAGATGTGGAGGCCACGGACCTCAGTGGGGGCAGCCTCAGAGATTTGGGGGCACAGAAGCCCCACGCAGTGAGGGCAGGAGAAGCAACAGGTGAGGAAGAGGGGAGGCCATGAGTGGGGACACATAGGGGCTTCTCCTTCCCCCAGACCCCCGCTGTGCCAGGGAGGGACACTGGGCTGTTATCAGGCAAGGTCCTTGTTGATGTGGCCCTTGACCCCCACTTCTGAGGTCTCCAGAGTCATTTTCGGGTCCCCTATATGTGACAGGTCACTTCACTTTGTCATGAATAGGGCAGAGAAAGAGAATTCTGAGGAGTATGGACATCTGAAAGCCATTGCTCCTCTGCCTGTGTGGCCCTAGGCAGAAGAGGAGATCTTTCTGGGCCTCTGTCTATCTGTAATTGGGACCCACGTAGCCTAATTTGAGGGGCTGGTCAATGGCTTAGCTCGAGAAACAAGGTCGAGTACAACATAGCGGCTGAATCTGAGGCGGAGGCTGATAGAGTCTAGGAGACCATAGTTAGTCTGGGTCCATCTCAGGGCACAGACCCGGCTCGTGTGTCAGAGCAGGGACCCAGAGAGACACTTGGAATCCCCATCAGAGCAGCAGGAGGGAAATACATGTCATTCTGTCCTGAGCGAGCAGAACTGGCCCGTCTGCACGAGCCTGTTCCGTCTGGTCCTTACTAGTCAGCAGCTGACACAGTGGGGGGCCTCCAGGCTTGCTCTGCTCCGAATGAGGGATGCCCGTGCCAGTCACATGCCAAGAGTCCTGTTCCCCAGCCCCATGGACTCTCTAGCTTCAGCCTGAGAGTGGGGTTCCCTGTGTCCCATTCCGCACCCCCTGTTCTCCTGTGTGTCACTCTGCCCCTGTGCCTACCCAGCCAGAGCAGCGAAGGATGCTGACAGGGGAGACAGGAGTACACTGGGACTTTCAGGGCCCTGGCACTTCTATCTTCCTGGGCCTCTTCATTCACAAAATACTCTTAAAACTTGCAATATACAACTGCATTCATATAAACATGAATATAATCAAAGCTGCTTTTAATCTTATGTATCCAACAATATGTCAGTGTTTGCATCTGTGATTTTAAACAATTAAAAGTAAAATTTTCTGTGGATCCCTAGATGTCTCAGGGGCTAGGAACGCTGCCTAGTGTGCTGACCGATAAGTGGGTCCTGGCAGGTGACGATTCTGTAGGCGCCCAGACACACCTGCAGACACTAAATGCCTTCTGCTGTCTTTTCCAGGATGACTTCACCTCGTGATTCTCTTTCAGCTCCTTGTTTCAGCTGAATTAGTCCATGAGAAAGAGGAAGCTGACCCTGAGCAGAGGTCACCCTTGACCCAAATCCCTGCCTTCACAGCACCATGGCTACCATCGCAGGTCTCTGCAGAGGGCAGGGGTTAGGGGCTGAATCCTTCCCCTTGTCCCTGTGAAAAGGACAGGTGGTGGGTCATTGAGGGACATGACTCCGTGTCCCCAGTCCGTCATTTTTTGAGTAGGAGGTCCTTGATGGAATGACGTAGCCCATGGGTCTCATTCTCCTCATCAACTGGGCAGTCAGAGAGCTGGTTGATATTCCCCAATATTTGGGGCACTATTTCGGACAGTCGTCCACTTCCAATTCCTTGGTGTCTCATGGATAGGTAGGATGTCTGGGGAGAGAAAAGGGCTGATGTCCATGGAGGATCATGGCTTACTCCCTGAGTTTATCGGGGTAATGGGTACATGAGGGTTCCTCAAGAACCAGATGTGGAGTCAGGGGCTAACCTGCCTGGGCACTAGGGCTGTGCGGTCTTTCCTGAGAAGACCTCTGCTCTGACAGGCTGTTAGGACAAACCAGGGAAGTCAGATGCTGGAGGCAGGGACAGCACACCCCCATCCAGGGAGTTGCAGTCTGAAGTCCTGAAAGGGGACACTCCATGGACCCAGGGAAGGATGAGGAAGGGGAGTTCAGTCTAAAGACTGAAGAAATGCAAAGGTGCAGAGGCAGAAAAGCAGAGCGAAGATTTCAGGGGGACCTGACACCCAGTAACCATGGGTATTGCTAGCTATTTTCTACTGTTATCACCTTCTTTTCCAACTCTGACTTGGGAAAATGATACAGCTTGACGAAGAAGCCACTGGGGCAACACCTGGACTGTGACACCAGGTTGCCCAGAAGCCCCTCTCTCCTTCCTTCTCCAAGGCTGAGTGTGCAACCAGTGCATCTGTAGAGGCTGTCACCTTCTGAGGTGCCACATCCAATTGCCCTGAGTCCCATAGATCAAAGAATGCCAAGAGGTGACTCAGGCTTTTGATCACAGGGCCATTCCATGGGAGACTGAATTAGAATTGGCATCATGGTCTCTAGGCCGCTCTATAATATAGGCTCATTCACTTTCCCAGCTGGGCCCCCTCCTCCTTCCACACCAACCACTCCATCCTGGTGTCTCAACCTGAGCCCTGGAGAGGGAGTACCTTGGGGACAAGTCAGAAGAGACTTCGTGAGGCTGTGGGAGCAGAGATGGGGAGTTGCTGTTTCTCTGGTTGGATGTCAGCCTGATTCTGAAGAGGTCACAGTGAGGAGGCAGAGAGGGTGTAGGACACAGCCTGGTCCCTCTGTCTCCTTGAGGACTCAACCCTCTGGAGCAACCCTGCTCATGAAT